CAGTTCAATTAAACTATGCATGCCTATTTAAATATATTTACACATGGCTTGTGTATATCGTATATATACATATATATTATTCGTACCTTCGGTGTATAGGACGCAAGCAGATTTTGACATCAAATTTTGGGGTAAAAAATGCGTCTTATACACCGAATAATACGGTACTTAATATTCGACGCTTTCGTGGAGAACAAGGTGACTATATTATTGCAAAGCTAATATGAGATCTACATATTTCTAAATAAATCAAAATGGCGAGATGTAAACTTTTTTTTTTGTTTTTGCGCATAAAAGTCTTCTAGATTTAAATATATATATAGGGACTTTCGAGAGAGTTTGGTAGCATGGGAGTAAGTGTTACAACAATGAACAAGTCAGGTAGACCTAACACATTCGCGACTGACAGTTTGATGTCTTTATCATAAGTTGTTTGGTGAGTCACGTGAGTTCAAAGAACTTTCCTCGGGACATTGGGACAAACTACCACAAAACGGGATTGTCCCGGCAAAACTGTCCCTGTAGTTACTACAATATTAACCAAAAAAGTAGATTACTAGTTTTCTTTAAAAACTGGAACTTTTAAACAAATATGGAGTCATCCAGCAAAAAATGAAAAACAAGATAAGATAAAACTGGTACATTTGTTACGTCCCGAAATATCTCTACAGGACACCGGGACTGAGAGGTCCAAAACGGGACATATAGACAACAAGGATACACTCTCTGTACACTTCATGATTTGGTCCTGACAGAATAGACATTATCAATATAATGTTAGTTGTTGAGCTTTAGTAGAAAAAATAGAATTTAATAGAAAAACATTTTAGAATGTTAGAAAAACATTTATGTAAAAAATTATCAAACTTGAAGTAAACCACCTAACTGAATCTGACAATTAAGAAAGTTCGGAACAAATACGATTTATATAAACAAACGTAGAAAGAGTAAATATTACTTAAAATAATGATGCATTTAGCTCATGCTTTTGAGAACAAATACTAGTCAAGATTTAGTAACAGGTTTTTTTTTGTGATGTGAAATCTTTTTTTTTCCACGTTAATACCAAAAAAAAATGTTTATTTGAGAAATTGATCTCGACTCATTTAGTGGAATCTTCGTCTTCTACTTAGAGCACTTTCTTAGACATTTGTTAGAACTGGCAGGTTTTGGCATTGCTTCTTTCAAACTTAGTCCCGCACATTTGACCTGAACATCTTCTGTTGCTGACATGGCACTATAAATATATATAAAAATATTATATAACTCATACACGCTTATAGCTCTTACAGTAAGAAAACAGTTTTTGCACACAATGTAAGGGAAAAATGAGGCTTCAATCACAATCATGTAACTATTTCAAACAGAGGTTGCATGGCCAGGTGGTTAAAGCGCTTGACTCGCAATCTGAGGGTCGCGGTTCGAATCTCCGTTCAACCAAACATGCTCGCCCTTTCAGCCGTGGGAGCGCTATAATGTGACGGTCTATCCCACTATTCGTTGGTAAAAGAATAACCCAAGAGTTGGCGATGGGTGGTGATGACTAGCTTTCACTGCTTACACAACAAACAAACAGAGACTGAGTACCATAAAACGCGACACATAAGTCGATCCCTATGACAAAAAATCCCAAAATTTTCAGATCACCTCATATAAATCTATCTCCCAAAATATTAAACATAAATTTCTAACGACAGACGAATAATTACAGACAAGACATCGTCGTAGACATCACATTCCTTCATGGATCACTGTCGTCCTCGATTGTTAGGCTAGCATCTTTTTCCCAGTGGCACAGCGATATGTCTAGAAACGCTAGAGACCGGATGTCAATACCCGTGGTAGGCTGAGCACAGATAGACCAGTCAGCTTGATTAGCATTTGGCAGCTACAGCCAAAAATATATCATGACAACAAACCTAAAACCTTCTTAACTTCTTATAATTAAAAATTAGAAATAATTTAATTAATAATTTCAATGTGTCAGACAATAAACGAAGATATTAAACTGGGGTAATTTATCTACAGTAAGTTAAATGTTAAAAAACAAAACATTATTTAAAGCTTTGTTTATTTTGTTTTATTGAATTCTGCACGAGCCGTCCATAATTTGGAAATGGCAGACTAGAAGGAAAGTAACTAGTCAATACCACCCAACTTGTAGGCTACTCTAATAGAAAAGTTGAATTTGACCGTCAATATGATAAAATACGGGTGTCTGCGGAGTTACAACGCTAGAATCCGGGTTTCGATACCCGTGGTGGGCAGAGCACAGATAACCCACTCTGCAGCTTTGTGCTTAACTTAAAACAAACAAAACAATAAAATAAGGCCTCAAAGTGTAAGGTGCAATGTTTTGATTTTTTATTATAACGGAGCGCGAACCACGGAACTTTGGATCCACAGTCCGGCACCATTATCTAAATATAAATTTCAATTAAGTAATATAATGATACATATATTTATTGAAATATTAGATTTAAAAGTTAATAATAATAATGTGCAGGACGATAGTCTGATGTAGGCAAATTATCTGGAAAAAATAATTCCATTCTTTAATAAAAAATATCAAATATTTTTGAGCTGTTGCGCATGGGCAATTCGCGCAATGCGCCTTCCCAGCGGTTCAGCGGAAAAAATGCGGGGTAACAAAGCTAAAATTCCGGTTTCGATAACCGTGCTGAGCAGAGCACAGATAGCCTATTGTGTAGCTTTGTGCTTAATAACGACCAAACCAATTATGCAATGAGAGGCAACATCACTTCCGTTTGGCGTCATCTTCACGTATTTTGCTACTTAAAATGAGCCTTTATATGAGGCATTAACGCGGTAAAATGTAAATGGCTGCGAACCTCGAACTGTTCAGCTGATTGTTTATCTATTTCAACTCGATCTTTTTTTTTTTAGGGGGGGGGGGAGTCCAATCGAGTTTCTCTATTCAATTTTATCGAAATTGGTTCAGTTAGCTTGTGACATCAGAAAGACAGACAACTTTATACGTATACATAGATTTTGACGGTGCAACATTTCAGCCGTACTAAACATAGTCTTAGAAAAATATTTTATTAGTTGCAAAACAGTTAAGATCTTCTTAAAAACGTTCAGTATGCTAAAAAATATAAACCAAAACAATAATACATATTATTTTAGTAAATAAGATTAAATATAAATTTCTACACATAACATTTTTGTAGCTGTGTTAAATATTATTGGCGAATTATTGTTGTTATTATTCATAAAGTACGAAACTTCCTATTATTGTACTGTTGTGGTTTATATTTGTATTACTTTAATGTTTTTGTTCACAAGAGGGAGTTAGGTTTTTTTACATGAATTGTTTATTTGTTTATTTGGAATTAAGCACAAAGCTACACAACGGGCTATCTGTGCTCTGCCCACCACGGGTATCGAAACCCGGTTTCTAGCGTTGTAAGTCCGCAGACATACCGCTGTGCCACTGGGGGGCTTTTACATGAATAAAGATGACGGTGAAGCTTAGAAATTTCATGAAAGTTTAGACCTGTCTGTAAAATTTCGAAACTTCCTGTAGTAAAAAAATTAGTACAATAAAAAAAAAGGCCAGACTGAGTGAGATAGTGTTAGTTAACCAGTTCAGTCCAGTTAGTAAATTAGACAGTGAGTGTTAGCGAGTCTATTTATTTGTGGTTCAGTTAGTAAAATAAACAGTGAGTCAGTCAGCGTGTTTGTTATCGATGGGTTAGCGAGAAAATTTTGCAAATAAGTTACGCGTACATTAATTTTGGAATATTTGTTGAAACGGTGTTTATTGATGTTAGGCCTACCAGAGAACCTAGCCTGTAACAAATGTTACTGAATAATTAAACCAATTTGTTACGTGGACTTGGCTTCTAATTATTTTTGGCACATAATCCAAATGTCAGTACCACCCAGGGTGGCAAAACTTAATTGGTGACAAATGATTTGTACCACCCCAAGAAGTAAGAAAATATGTGATAACCTTTTTAATGAGAAGCTTTGTTGTTGTTTTTTCCTGGTATATCGCCCATTTTCGCATTAATCCTATGAAGTCCACTACATTTTATGTTACCAACTTTTTTGTTGTGGGCCGATTGCCATCAAATTTGGTGACTTTGTTGCAAATTTAATTTTAAGCATTTGGATACTATATTTTGGTACATATCTTTATCCGGGTTGTCATGGCATTCTAGAGCACATTTTGCTGATTTTCATGTTTTATTTTCCAAGAAACTATCACTCAAAACTATAAATATATCTTTTGTATGTTTTAGAAGAAGTAGCAACTTCACCAGACACATTTCAATGAGATTTTGATGCTATTTAAGCAATTTGAAACCTTCATGAAAATTGCCTTAAAAACTGCCTTTTTGATGTACACCGCGAGAGGTCGATCAAAATGGTGAGAGGTGCAATAGGGCATCAGGTACATCTCTTTGGTTCAATAACATTGCAGGAGACCATGAGGTCCAGTAATGCAGAGAGTTCCTGTGCAGTTCTTTCAACAAGTCAAGCCTGATCAAATTCATGGTCAAAGAATGGAATCTTCTGAAATTCATAGGAAAGCTACAAGACACTGTATGTAACCTGTGTATATGTCTGCTACAAGATGACCAGATGGAAGTTGTCGAATTGAAATCTACTCAAGAAGAAGCCAATACCCATCTGCTCCTACATGTACTTCACACACTTGACAGCAGAAAACAAAGATGTCATGGTGCTTTGCCTTGGCTTTAATGGAGACATTCCCTGCTCTTTCTATAAGAAATGTGGAACACAGAATCGTACAAGGTTCATCAACATTAACAAACTGGCAAGTTCACTGGAAAACAGTATCTGCACAGCCCTAATTGGACTACATGCCTTTACTGGGTGCGTCACAGTCAGTGCCTTCACAGGTCGCGGAAAGGTTGGGGCTCTGAAACTTGTGAAAAAGGAGAGCACCTACCAGGACACCTTTAGCCAATTTGGTCAGTCCTGGGAAGTGCCCGCAAAGTTGTTTGAGAAGACAGAACAGTTTACCTTCCACCTGTATTCACGAGGTGAATGAACTGAGATACCAGCTCTTCTATGCCAAACGAAGAAAAATTGAATCAAGTCACCTTCCATTATACAGGGACTGCCTCTACATGCATGCATTCCGTGTGAACTACCAAGTAGCAATCTGGAAGTGTTATCTTCAGAGTCACCCTGATGTACCAAACCCTAAAAGATTTGGATGAACTGCAGATAATGATGTCCTTCTAGTCATTGAGTGGATATGCACACCACCAGCCCCAGATGCACTCTTGGAATTATTATTCTGCAATTGTCTGCGTTCCTACAAACTGCCAAGCTGCTCTTATCTTGCCAATGGATTAACATGCATAGGCATGTGTAAGCTACAGACATTAAACAACCAGAAGAAGGAAGAAGTGGTTATTGTTGAACTTGGCAACTCAGACGACGATGAATATGGTGATTAGTTGAATGCACTAAAGCCATGCGTGTCCCATGCTTAGGCTGTGTGTATACCAAATGATTGCTACTGTCTGGTTGATGTTGCTATGTATATAAGCTCTGAACACATAAAAACAGACTCATGTTCTTGAACTTGAGTGCTGGAAAATTGTATGCTTAAATTCTCTGTTGGACACGATTGCCACATTATGATTGCATATGGTTTCTGCTATGTGTTTCTGGCCCGTGTTCCATTATTGTTATATTCCGACATTTAATCTGCCATGTATTATAATTGCTTTGCTTTCCTTGGTCATAAACGATCAAGAAATCAGAATCACAGCAGTTACTAGTTCTTACAAGCACATGACAACATTGAATATTTGTGGGTTTCTTATATTGAAGATCGCGTATCGAGAAGAGCTTTACTATTTACTATCTTCTGTACCGTTCCATAGATAATGTAAAGTTGTTTTAAAATGGAAATAGCATCATAAATGATAAAGATGACGATGGGCAGAGTGTACTGAAGCCTTGTATACCACATGTTTAGGCTATCTGTAGGTTAAGTGACTGCTAATGTCTGGGTTATGTTCCCTAGTATAAGCTATAAACACTTAGGAACTGATATGCTCATGAACTCGAGTGTTAAACACTTTATCATTAAATTCTCTGTTGGACACAACTGTCACATTATGGTTGCGTGTGATTTCTGCTACATATTCATGGTCTCTATCCAATTATGGCCCGACATGGCCAGGTAGTTAGGTTGTTTGACTTGCAATTTGAAAGTCGCGGGTTCGAATCCCCGTCCCACCAAACATGCTCGCCATTTCAGCCGTGAGAGCATTATAATGGAACGCTCAATCCCATTATTCGTTGGTAAAAGAGTAGCCCAAGAGTTGGCGGTGGGTGGTGATGACCAGCTTCCTTCCCTCTAGTCTATCACTGCTAAATTAGGGACCGCTAACGCAGATAGCCCACGTGTAGCTTTACGCGAAATTCAAAACAAATATAAATACTATTCAATTACTTTTATAGACCTACAATAATCTGTCATGTACTTTGAATATCATTTTACTGACTTTAGTCGTATACAGTCAAGAGATCAAACTTTCATCAGTTCCTATCTCTTTCGCGCACATGACAACCTTTAAAGGTATTTACCAACATTGTTTTAATATTCCTATTGATCTTCTGGGGGGGGGTTCAATAACGCATCAGTTCATTGAGAAATGCCTAGATTAAAGCTACTAAGATATTAACTAAAAAGCTGATAAGCTACCTAATAAAAATACTGAAAACATAAACTAGTTTTAGGAAGTGGTTGTAATACAACACAAATATAAGTATGTGGGACTAATTGTCATTTCAGCAAAGTGGTCCCTGGTACCAGTTTAATCTTTATTCACGGATATCTTCATAATCAGAGAGGATGTGCTAATGACAGTCAACAAAATATCTTGATTTATTATAATGTTTATGTTCTGGTACATTAAATATATATATATTTACATTTTAGGCCCGACAATGTTAGCATATACCTTTAATATTTCTGTCATTTTCTGTGAAATATCACATATCTGGAAAAGCTTTACCATTGCACAGCTTCTGCACTGTTCCACAGACATTGTAAGATTTTGCATTAAAGAAAAGAATATTATAAACGGATTATTTCATGACTTTTTTTATTCCTTTATTCATGTACTTTGTAAACTACACAACAGGGGCAGCAGTAAAATGTTTCCCAGGAGTGGGTACATTAAACAGTAAATAACCACCACTAAGCAATAGTTATCATTCCAATATATATATATATACTGTAGACATAGACTAATTCAAAATTAATAGTAATAATTTGCCCCCCCCCCCCCCAAGATGGTACCATTAAGTGAAATTTGGGATCCTGGCCCATGGACTAAAAGAGCTAAATCCTTTATATGCTATGTGGCAGATGTTTGTTTTTAGTTGTTTTAGTGCAAAACCTAGATAAGGAAAGTTTGTTTGTTTGTTTGTTTTTAATTATGCACAAAGCTACACAAGGGCTATCTGTGCTCTGCCACCACGGGTATCGAAACCCGGTTTCTAGCGTTGTAAGTCCGCAGACATACCGCTGTGCTACTGGTGGGCAACAGATAAGGAAAGGATTAATATTTCCCAAAATCGATATCACTACCCTAAAAACAGCAAAAGTTATTTTTTTCTTTCAAAGGGTACAAAGAAATTCCTTAACTGAATAAAGTGAAAATTTCAATGGTTCCAGCAAATAGACTTACATATCAAATTCATTCTTTACACGTGTGTGTGCTTAATTTAATTCACTAATATCGACACTACATTTACGATAACTAAAGAGGCAAACAGAAATACTATAACTTGTACAACGGAAATGTTTTATGTTTGTTTGTTTTTGAATTTCGCACAAAGCTTCACGAGGGCTATCTGCGCTAGCCGTCCCTAATTTAGCAGTGTAAGACTAGAGGGAAGGCAGCTAGTCATCACCACCCACCGCCAACTCTTGGGGTACTCTTTTACCAACGAATAGTGGGATTGACCGTCACATTATAACGTCACCACGGCTGAAAGGGCGAGCATGTTTGGTGTGACAGGGATAAATGTTTTATGAAGGAAAGATACTGATAATTAAAAGAAACTCGAAGCTTGTCACTAGATGAGGGGCGAAAACATGGCAATATATGACTAATTTAAGTCAAGACGCATATTATCATAATATCACAGAAAAAGGAACACTCACCGAGCTAGAATAACCAACGATTCTAACACGTTGTGTCCTGTCTTAGCACTAACTTCAATAAAAAGAGCCTCGAAATCCTAATGCAAAAAAAAAAAAATGCAGAGAAAATGCTTAGTAATGTGCAGAATAAGTTTTATAAGTACGTTGTAAAACTATTAGGTATAATAATGCATTGTAACAGATAATATTTTGAAAAGTAAGAATATATATTCCTGTATTTCTTTTTCAAAATGTCCAAATTCCCCACTTCTACAATACGTAACACAATCCGTACTTTTGCAAGTTTTTGTCCGTCTTCTGTACTAACACAACACCTCTTTTCTGCTTGAGCCATTTTCCGTTGATCTGTTTTGTTTGCCAAAATCACAACTGGTATCCGTTGAGAAGCCACATCCTGAAAAAAAAATTACAAGAAAAATATGTAACAAGATACCATCGAACTATAAAAAATTACCAAAACAACAACAACAGCTTAAGACACAGACGAGCCCCCCAGTGGCACAGCGGCATGTCTGCTGACTTACAACGCTAGAAACCGGGTTTTAATACCCGTGGTGGGCAGAGCACAAATAGCCCATTGTGTAGCTTTGTGCTTAAATTCAAACAAACAAATAAATACAGACGAATTGTTAGTAGTGGTGGGAAAAAACAAGCATTACAAAGAACTGATAGGTGAGAACATTAAATATTTAAGGAAAATATAAATAATTAGTAAAAAAAATCGTCTTAGGTGCTGTTAAAACCAAGCGAACCTACAGTAGTTAAATCTGTTAACGTATTGTTTGTATTATTTTACCACATTTATTAAGGTAAAAATAAAATTAAAATATACAACCAAGGATTTCCTTTCAAATATATAGTTAATTGTCTGAGACTTTAAGTTGAATTAGCTCAATATCTTCCCTTTTGTGGATTTTTCTTCTTTGGAGTAAAATCCCGTGGCATCTAGAAAGTAAAATCTGCTTTTGCCAATTTCTTGAGGCCCAACTTGAAGATATTTTAACAAGCAGTGGCGTTTTGGTGGTTACGTTTCTCGTGCTATGCATGATTTCCGTGCACTCAGTTTTTAATGTTAGTTATGTGAATTATGTGTGCCATGTTAACACCATTCATTCATTCATGTTTAGTCGAATTTACTCTTCGAAACGAATTCCTAACTACAAAATAACGTTCTACACAACGGTCCGCGCTTCTGTTTAAACACATGTCATGCTCGTCAGAAGGATTAGTACTTCACCCATTTATCAACAATATGTCGCCCTATGGCTAGCGAGAGTAGCCGTACCGACCTATACCGACGAATGGCTTGCTCCCTTCAATTAGCTTTAATTAGTCTTGTATTGGCTATCTGGGGCAATAACGCTACGCGGGCCTTATACGTGGCATAACTAATTTAGAGCAACCACTTCGTGTAACACAGTATACACAAAGCATTGATCGTACGTTTTTTTGTTTGCTTTTTAATGGGCAAATTCGTACTTTTTGTCATTCTCATTTAAAGTTAGTATCTTTAATGTACTTATTTCTAATTTAGTGCTCATTTTTATATGAAATAAAGAAAGCATTATTGGCATTCGCCCTTTTGATTTATGCATCATAATTGCAAAGTCACCATGAGCGTGATCATTTACAACGTAATAGAACCGCCTTAGATTTTAAAAAAATCTTGTAGATTGTATTTAACTTTTTTTTTTTCATATTTTCAGAGTTATTCGGAAATCTTGTACGATTCATAATTTTTCAAAATTTATCATATGCAAATGATACGAATGTTACCTTACTACACAAATAACTTTTACTAAATGTCATTTATTGGGTAAACAAAACCTAAGTCTCGAAAATATGTAACACATTGTATAATCACGTATGAATACGTTCGATAATTAATGTGAACACAATGAGAACCTTCTGAACTTGTATCCTAATCTCAAAGTGAAACGATTCCGCCATAATTTACAAATCTCTATAAGATACTTTATCAGAAATGAGCATTATTTTTTAGGCTTACAAAACCTATTAAACTTCAAGTTAAACAGAAAATTTCTAAACTCATATATAACATTTCAAATATAACATAATAGTAATAAAGTTTATATGCCCTTAGAAACATTTGACGAGAGAGTTTGGTTACTACGGGTCTCTCATTTGTTTCTGGTATATATATATAACTCTCGCTTGTTTTTACTAATTCAAAACAGAACGAAATGTATTACCCTGGTGGGACTGTTTGCATGCAGCGCCATCATGGTGTAGAAACAGGACACCTGAAAGTGACAAGAAGAGTGTTTTAACAGATAACTCGGTGACTCAACTACTGTATATGTTTTGTGATGATACATACATTTCCATGACACAGAACATATATATTCATGCTTGTAATTTTTTGCGATATGAAGAAGTAAACACTGACCCGATGAAAAGAAAACCTTCAGTAACGAATAATTCTAATAAGATCGACCATAAAAATTTTATAAATGTATTTAAATCACTACATTTTAACAAAGCTGGAAATAAAATAAACATGGTATCTATAATTTACAAACTATGTGGCACCTTATGTGCCAAATGAGCTGAACAACTGGCCAAATGGGGGCCAACCAGCCAGTAGCACCCAGCACCTTGTGACAAGGATGAGAAACACTCTACTATGTTACACTGTAACACAGATTCAAGGATCATCAAAACGAAATGTTATAAATGATATTTATGAAGGTGTCCCCCTGGGAATGTTGAGAGCAAAAAATAAAAATCTTAACTGTATTCATCTAGGTAATTTAGAAACAATAAATTAAATAGTAACAAAATAATATATCAACCACTAACACAAACAAGAGGGAATCCTCAGTGGCCGCGGCAGTAATTAGATCTCAAATCGGTCAAGAAATAGAGCTATGAACTAAAAGTTTGTATTTGAAAAACAACAACCTCGGAGCCATTCTATGAGCCGACATGCCGCGGCTAAAAAAAGAGCAAAAATATCCTTTCATAAGGAAGAAATAAATATATGAGTAATCGACCTTACGTTACTTTTATAATTATAACTGTTCTTCAAAAACCATATATTTTGGAAATTACCATTTTCATTAAAATGAGAGCATGAAACTTTCAAATCAGTTTGTGGTGCGGAGAAAAATAAAAAGATTAATTGTAATGCATTATAATTATCTTCATTGTATCCATTAAAATCCTTAATAATTAATTAGTCTTAATTTAATGCCACATGAAAACGAAAAAGATATATCACACCTCATCAAAATTCAGAGTATCCAACTTGATTCATTAATAACAGGAAGTTAAGGTGGAGTCACGATACACATTTATCGTTCTGTTGACAAGTCTAGTATACTTTGAATTGTTTTATTATCATCATTATAGAGTAGGATCTATGAACCACTTTTTTTTTAATGTATGTTGTCACCCACATAGTAAGGAGCAAGAACTTACATCCACAGCATCTATCCACTGGCGTACGTTTAAGAAGGAATGTTCGTTAGTGCAGTCATACACCAACATTATACCATCAGCTTTACGGAAGTAAGATTGAGTTATACTGCGAAACCTGAAAACAAATGCACGTGAACTCCAAAGAATAAATGCTAAATAAAGAAACCTGAGGCTGAACTATTAGTTAGTGTTTTAGTCAAAACCAGTTTCACTATCAGACCTGTATAAAAAATAATAATGATCTCATAAAAACAAAAGTTAAAGCTACTACTGATTTCAGTACTAGGCCTACAAGAGATAAATAACAATAATCTTAAAGAAAATGCAAAGCAACAATTGGTGGTAATACCCTTACATGACGTAAAAATAAAATCTGTAACGCTATCAGCAGATTTGGTACTGGACCTACTTCAGGTCTAATATTGAAACTAGTGGCGATGTTAGAAACACACATACATGTATATTATACTTAAATGTGTTTTATATACTGCGTTTGACACTTTATAGGAGCAAAGAAATCTGTTAATTCTTTAAATTTATTCAAGCTTATCTCCAAAACTAACATATATACATGTATATTATTAATTAATGTTTATTTGTTAATTTTTCTTTTAAAATAACTCATTAATTATAGTGAAATTATGTATTTTTCTGCAATTCAAATAATTATCCCAACCAGAAATTTCATTATAGTGCTATTAAAATACATGTAAGTCAAAAAAAACTCCTCTCAGTTCACTAAAGAAGCAGCCCTCCCCCCCAGTGGCACAGCGGTATGTCTGCGGACTTACAACGCTAGAATCTGGGTTTCGATCCCGTGGTGGGCGGAGCACAGATAGCCTTTTGTGTAGCTTTGTACTTAATTACAAACAAACAATTTAAAGAAGAAAATATACATTAGATTTTAACAGATAATTTCCAATTTTATCCCATTAAAAAAAAACTATTTCAAGACATGTTTTTTTCCTTAGAAAATAGTTAACAATAATAATAAAATTCCTGAAAGTTTTGTGCAAGGAAATGTTGGACAAAAATCATTCAAATTTACATGTTTAAATTTCTGAGCTTTATCATTAAAAAGTATACAAAAAAAAACTCCTTAGTAAATCTGATTATCAAAACAGTTTTTATTTGGCGTTAATTTTTGCAATAGGGTAATGGACACAGAGAAACGAAGCAAATAAAATCAGTCGTTAGTTGCTTTTTCTGCCGTTTTCGGAGCTCAAATATAAGACCATTTTAGCTTAGATTTGTTTGTTTGTTTTGAATTTCGCGCAAAGGTACACGAGGGCTATCTGCGCTAGCCGTCCCTAATTTAGCAGTGTAAAACTAGATGGAAGGCAGCTAGGCATCACCACCTTGGGCCACTCTTTTACCAACGAATAGTGGGTTTGACCATCACATTATAACGACCCCACGGCTGAAAGGGCGAGCATGTTTGGTGTGACGGGGGATTCAAACCCGCGACCGTCAGATTGCGAGTCGAGCGCCCTAACCACCTGGCCATGCCGGGCCGTTTTAGCTTAGTATGAATAACTTCTCAAAAATAACATTACTGTATCTCACACAAATTGTATAATGTAATAGCTTAAACTTTTATTTATTTATTTCAACAATATAATTTTTGAAGGTTTTTTTAAACAAATGACAGTTTGTTAATTTATAACAAAAATTGAAACGTTTCACTTCTTTGGCCTGACTTTATGCAGCATTAAATATCCAATTGAGCAACGAATGTTTTTAATTATTAACTGTTAAGTTTCTATTCTAGTATTTCTGAGAACACGGAGAGGCTTGGAGACAGTGATGGATCAAAACTTACTCTTCTCCGTCATAACCTACGTAATAACCCACCATCAAGATAAAGGAATAAGACAACCTACATAATAACCCACCATCAAGATAAA